AAAAGAATCATATTTGTTGTCGCCATAATTCCTGAGACACTGTCACTCATATATCTATAGATATAGATATATGAGTGACAGTGTCTCAGGTGTATATATATAGATATATATAGATATATAAAATTGTGTGTGTGTGTGTGCGTGTGTGTATCCTAAACAAGGCTGACTTTTGCTGAAACGTACCAATGTGAAATGAGCTAAGCAGGCTGGAGGGTTTGAGTCATTGGGAGCATACAAGTGGGTAGTGTACCACTCAAATGAAAGCCATTTCACACTGCCCTGAAAAGGACAGAAAAAGTTACTCCTCCACAAAAGTCCCTTTTCTGCAAAAGACAGAACGTCTGTACAAAGGTGTCCCATGAATATTCCACGTTGAAGGTTGCATCAGAGCCGCAAGGGTGTGAAGCTTTAAACTCGATACTGACGTTTACTGCCCTGCTGTGTTGAAAGTAATTTGTTGCCGTTCAAAAAGACGGCTATGGGCTGAATATGTGCCACCAGAAACAGAATCTGAATCATTTATATTTGAATTTCAATTATTAAACTTGAAGAAGTGCATTGAAAAATGTAATCTTTTTTTTTGTGAGTGGATGCCGTGTTATTGTGAATGCAAGAACCATCCTTTCAATATACTGCTTTGCTGGGTTCTGTGTGAAAGGCAAACGCTGATAAATGCATGCTCTTCTCTTCTAGCTTGGATGCTCCTCTTTTGTGGCATCTGTGTGTGAAAGAGGCTTATCTTGCTCCCCTACTGTATTTAGAAGTTGCTCTCAAAGCAAGGCACTTTTTCTTGAAACGCTCCTGATGTGCCACTCGTCATGTAGAAGTCGCTGGAGAGCAGAGGTGGGTAAAGTACCGGTATGTAGGACACAGGCTAAAAGCTGTGCAACCCACACCTTCTATCAATCCAGCGCACTAAGCACTGACAGTACCTGTTCAAGAGTCCATATTTGTTGCATTATTTTAGCTCTCACCCCCTGAAAAGTGTTTCATTAAAATATATTAATTATTGAAATTCAAATCAATTAATTTTATGGTCAATAAAATAACACATGAATGTAAAAAATACTTACATAAAGGTTTATATTTTTATGATTTTGTGGAGGAAACAATAGTTGGTTCATCGATAATAATTAAATGAATTATGTTTCAACTTTTGGCTTTTCTGTGAGTGGTCGCCACCGTGAGACACTCGCATGATTTGTTTGGCACAGTTTTTATGTCAGATGACTTTCCTGACACAACCCAGATAATATTTATGCTAGCTTGGGACTGGCACTGCCTGGGAATCACCATCCAAAAAAACTGCAGAACCTCAAATTTAGAAATGACAATGAATTCTTCTCTTTACTTATCTTCTTATCTCTCACATTTGAACTTTTTTCTTTCCTCATCCACAAACTATGTGTTCCATTTGCACACCCGCCACACACCGAGCCCCGCGGACGATTGGGATTGAACTACCGTGCAGTGTGTTGGGTTCTGAAATTAATTTTCATAAGTGGCCAACCGCTGGCTTCTGGGTTTATTGTGATTCAAAATCAGAATTGCCGATGGACGGGGTTGTAAATCAGAGATGTAAATAAAAAAAATACATTCTGGTTCAAAGCAAAATCCATCCGGGTGCCACCATACCAAAACAGTACAGTATATATGAATCTCTTTCTGAATGTGGGAGGAAACCAGAGTACCCGGACAAAACCCAGGCAGGGATGGGGGAGAACATGCAAATTCCACAAAGGAAAGGTGCCGGAATCGAACCCATATAATTTAGCTGCAGCCGCCAAAGCAATCTGTTTCTTCCTTTATAAATGCATCATGTTATTCATCGTTCAATGAAATATAAGACAGTACCGGATAAAGGTACTGCCTAAAAACCTCGTATCCCAGGAAAAACACATAGAGTGGCAAGGTCAATCACCAGGTGTACAGCTGTGAGTCACAGACTGTAATTTGCTCCCAGATGTCCAGATCTGTCACAAACGGCAGCGTTGCTTGGTGTACGGCAGGCCTAAAAAAAATCAAATCTGCCCGACAACTCTGCACTGTGAGGCCGACACGCTAACCGGTCGACTACTGGAGCACCGTTTAATTGAGTAGAATTAAGAATGATTTATGTTAGCCTTGGAACCGAGCAGGGCAGCTCAGACAGTCCAGGTCATGCAATGCTGGGTCTGTTCCAGTCTCTGGCAGGCCACAGCAGGTCCATGGTAGGCGGTATGACAAGTCTGTCGCAGCCTTGACCACTTGGGGGGTGGTCCTACCAGCAAGGTCTATGAGCGGTAGTCCTTCTTACTGTACGGCCTGTTGCCCAGAATGTGGTCGATTTCGGACACCACATGAGACGTCATCTTGGGAAGAACCTGGATGTGAGACGCGTGATAATTGATACCGGGAGGACGTGAGAATTCTACAGAAATAAAGTTGGATTCAGGAGAGGGTGCGCCACACCTCTTGCCCAAAATAATCTGTGATCTGCTCGAGCTCACCCACAATCCGAATGAAGACAAGCACTACGGAAAAGAATCGCGTTAATGCGTGCATGTGTCCATGTTCTCACCTGGATGGCCCCAAGGTTCTCTGTGAGCTGCTCGGGGTTGGATGTTCCCAACAGGACTGAACTCACACCTTCATTCCTTAAACACCACGCTGCAGAGAGAGGACGAGGTAGAAGCGTGAGCAGTTGCACCAACCATGGTTGCTTCCTCGTAGGTAGTGCGCTTTTAATTGTCTTGACAAGTGGTGATTTTGCTTTTGGAATTACCTCTGCCGATGCTCTGTTTGTTTGTTTTTTAATCATGTGTGTGCAACTGCCTGTTTGAGATTTTCTTTTCTATTCTTGAGAAAGTAAGGTATTGATTTTGTTGGTGACAAATATGACAAATTACGAGTAGGGCTGTATAGACGGCAAACATGAGTGCAGCAGACCGGCTGGAGTGTGACTTACCCACAGCGAGTTGAGGTAGCGTGCAGCCCAGCTTCTCCGCAATGTGGTTGAGGTCTTTCAGCTTGCCTTGCTGCTTTCGTCCATCTTCACTCACTATTTTTTCTCGAAGCCATTGATACGACTGGAAGAGCGAGAAAGTGGGGAAGTCAAAAGGTAAAGACAGAACTGGATTTAAAAAAAAAAAAAAAATCTTTATTCTTTTTTGTTGTACCGTCGCGATAATAAAAGTGCCGTATTGATATTCATCTCCTATGTTTATTTACACGGTCACAGCCATCCGGTTATGATCCATCCGCGTACCCTGAGAATCCTGTTGAAATCCTCCTTGTCCACACGAAGGAAGTGGCAGTTGTCCTCTCTTAAGACAATGGAGGCAGCGCGAGGTGAATCTGTAACCAGGGCCAACTTTCCGAAGTCGTCGCCCTCGTGGAGTGTGCACACGACCCCCTGACACACACACACACACACACACGGGTTTGCAACAATCTTCAAAAGATTCCGAAAGCCTGCAGAAATGTGCTGCATCTCCCTCCACGGTGGTTGCAAAAGTGAATCGTTGTTTGAATTTGCTTTCAAAGCCACTTCGCAGCGACGAAATTGTTCCTTTGCAAAGATGTATAGTGAATCTTTTGGGGTGTTTTTCATGCTTACCATGATCTCCATCGCTGTCCACCGAGACGTTCCCCAGTACATTGCCATCCCTTGGTTGATCACATAAGTCATGGCCCGGACGATCTCTGTCAGACACATGCAAATTATCACCAAGTTGCGATGAGTGGGAGAATATTTTGAAATGTGTTTTTGCGTGTGTGTGTGTGTGTGTGTGTGTGTGTGTGTGTGTGTGCGTGTGTGTGTGTGTGTGTGTTATAAATTTAAATTTCTGTATTCACCAGGGATGGCTTCTATATACTCAAGAAAAAATATTACTCTTGGTAGATTTATTTTCTTTGTTTTAAAAAAAAAAGTTTTCGCTGATAGCTTTTGAAATTTGAATTTGAAAGCTCTCAAAATATACATAAAATGTATCCAGTTTTTTTAATTTGGGGTGTATTTTTATGCTGTATGTGTATTATGTAAGGCATACATTATGGACCGGAGTTAAGTAAATAGCACACACAGTTGCACAGTTGCATTTTTAAATGTACGCTAGTGTTCTCATTAACTATCCCAATCCACCACTAACTCACAATCTCACATAAGGAAGCTTACAGTGTGTTTAAGCCTATCGCAGCGCTAATGATGCAATTAGTCTCAAACAGTGCTGACAACACGAGGCAACAAAAACTCAGACTTGGGACTGTCATTAGGTCCAATCATCATCACCCCCGGATTCATTCCCCAATAATTACGCTGCAATCTCTCTCGCTGAGGGCATCACACTTATTTTCCTGCTTCTAGGTGAAGCGATGTACTTTGTAGAACAAGGTAGGACAGAAGAAAAAAAAAGACAAGGAGAGCTTTAGAAAATAGACTGAAGGTTTAGTTATGCAAAAGAAAAAAAAATAAAATCCCAATGTTTCATTTCTATATAGAGCACAGGTGTCAAAGTCAAGGCCCGGGGGCCAGATCTGGCCCGCCACATCATTTTATGTGGCCCGCGAAAGCAAATCAAGCATTTCAAGTTCCATGATGCTTGCTAAAGTCTGAACCAAAATTTCAAATTGTCACATGTAATGAACAAAAACAGTCATTATTCTTGACTTCTGATTTTAAAACTAGTCATCCATCAATTTGTTGTGCGCTGTGTATGTAATATGTGGAGGTGATTCAACATTTATATGGTTTCCCAAAATTCATAATGGCCCTCCAAGGGAAACTGTAACTACAATGTGGCCCCCGCCAAAAATGAGTGTGACACCCCTGGTATAGAGATAAGAATTGTTGGACAAGTGTATGCCTCTCATGTTGCGTAAACATTTGAGGCAAAGTACTCAGCGCACAAGGAACAAACACATGCCAGACAAGTGGGGCGTGTTCTCATCCTGGACGTGTTCATGACCTGATTGTGATTTCTCAGGTGCCTCGGACAGCTAATGCTTCACCTTCCATCGGGGTGTTGCTGTCAGGGCGGTTGGCGAAAACGACATCGACGTACTCCAACTGCATCCTCTGTAGCGAGCCCTTCAGACCTTTCAGACCGTATACATGAACAAAAGCTTTTGACATCATTCATTATTAAGTTGTCGTCGTTTTAGCCATACCTTCAATAATGTGCTTTCGAGACAAGCCTCTCTCTGTCTCTGCTCTGGTGGCACAAAAAAAAAAAAAAATGATGCCCAAAGCTTTTATTTTCTTTGCCAGATTGTCAATGTGGCTATGACAGTATAAGAAAACAGCATATGTGGCTGTATATTAGACATAAGGAAAATGTTTTTTTCATATTTGAAATAAATGTTTAGGAATCCAAAAAAAAAAAAAAAGTACTCCGAACTCACTTTCCTCCCCAGTAAAGTTTGGTGGTGATGACCAAGCTGGATCTCCTACAAAATAACAAAACAGAAAATGAAAGGAAACTTCAAAAATGGTTGCTGTGTTGATTTTACAGTTGGTAGTAAATTATTTTCAGGATCGATTCTGTCTCTCTCCATCCTCATGATTTCAGTCGTCAAATCGGACGTTTTGCCGACTACAGCCACTCTTTAAGTGGGGTTGTTTTGGCTTCCTTGTCCTCACTATTCTATTCACAGGCTGTTTGTTTGTTTATTTGTTTCTATTCAAGCCTTTTATGGTGGAAAATGGCCTGGGCTGATAAATCAAAGTACTGGAATGTCATTACCTCCAGCACTTCTTCTTGATAATGGTTCCAAGAATCACTTCGGCCCTGGAAGGTTGAACGAAAATGACAAGAATTATATTTTGATGTTAGTCATGTAATTTTATGGGCACTACACAAACAGAGACACATTGGTTTTAAATTTGTTTTTGGTTGAACTGTCGACAATAATGGCTATACTCATTAATCTTTTTGTAATTATTATTTCAGAGAGCAAAAATTTGACATGAATGAATGTGAAGGACTCACTGTCATAAAAATAATTTTACATGATGAGAATAAAGTCAGCATCCGATGAGAATGATGTTATATTAATCTTCGGACAACTTCATGTTTTCTCAAAGCAAAGGCAAAATATTATAAGGCAAACACTGTCGGCTGGAGCTTGTCAAGCCAGTGATAAATCAAATTCAGAGATAAGTACCTCAACACAGATTGCGTTTTTTTAGATGAAAGCAGCACAAAGTCCGAAGGCAAACTGTATTTAGGTTGACAATATACAGTAATATATGAGACTGTGAATTGGAGCGAGAGTGCGGGGAAACCGGACAACACCCACCTGCCGCCAGCATAGACTTCAGCCGTATCGAACAGATTGATCCCGCTTTCATAGGCAATAGTCATCAGCTGCTCTGCAACCTGGCAACATGAGTTGAACCATGAGGACTACAAGCTCCATCTCACAATAAGCAACGCTAAGCAACATGCTTGAAAGTTCGGGGCTTTTGTTATTGTAGTTGTTTTAAAAAAAAACAAAAAAACATGATGCATTAATGTCCCCAAATTGGTCTTTACACCGAGTAAGAAATGCCCCCTTCACGTGTTAGACAAGCCTTTGGGTTTGCACATGTCCCCATGATGGATTACCGAAGGGCTCAAGCCTGATCGTGTACCTCCTGACCGAGTGCTTTGAAATAAACAAAGAAACAAATGAGCTTTAATTAAAGACCAACGGTAAAGTCCACCGTGTTGAGACAATGAACCATTTATCACAATAAAAGCCGTCTCATTGCCAGCAGCTATTGTCTACCAAAGCTTGTGTTTATGTCCCCTCTTAAACGTAAGCAGACTGGAGTCATGCTGTCGATCAGTTGATGACAACAGAAACTTTGAAGCAAAGAAGGGGGCTGCCTGAGCACATGATGTCACCAGTGACATTGAACTGAAGAATAACGGCCGGGAGGAAGGCGTGTGACTCCATGGCACTGTGTGTGTGTGTGTGTGTGTGTGTGTGTGTGTGTGCGTGCGTGTGCAGAGATGCGGCAACACTACAGGGCAACACAGGCGGTCACATAGGGCACCGCGAACCGGTTCAAATACATCCTGAACTTTCGAGGCGGGATGGGTGGTGGGGGTGTTATGGGGGAAGGGGCAGATGGGTAGTTTATGGTGGAAAATGTCCATCAAAATTGATCGTTCTATTTCAAAAAAAACATTTTTTCCCAACTCCATAAAAGCATGAACGATGAGAAGAAAATGGAGCCTACCTCATCTGTGATCTGACCCCCAAAAGTCACCCATGTACCTGGAGGGAAAACAAAAAAAAAAAAAAAACGGCAATTGCCTTAAGACCTTAAAAACATTTTGTAACATGCATCGGTTTGTGAGCTGTGACATATGGGAGTAAACTAACGAGGCTGTCATGTTCCCAAGAGAAACAATTTATCCTTAGATGAATGATTACTGCGTGTGCCTGCCTGTTGGCGCTTTATAATAGTGATGCATATGCGTGCGACTACGTGATGCTGATTAACAGGTAAACAAAGTTGAAGGTATGCAAGAGGTTAAGCCACCGCAAGCAATCAAACAAAGCCCTCAGCAAATTCCCTCACGGAATTCTTCACAGAGCTCCATTGTGCGAAAACACTTCCCATTCCAAATTTTTGCAGCAGTCTAAGAATTTACAGTGTCGCTAAACAGCCCGCAACAGGAACAGCAATTTATTTCTGCTTCGAACCTTAAAACGCTGCATGGCTTCAGTGTGCTCCTCAGGGGATTGCGAGGGCTGCTTGAAAACAGATAAGGAAGCAAGCCTGCAACTTCCCGGAGAGGTGATCTGCCAACCATTGTATTTTATGCTTGTTTCCCTTTTGTGTTATGTTCATAAAAAAAAAAAAAAAAAAAAAAAGATGGTGCAACCTTTTTTTTATTTTTCCTCAAGACCTTACCTACTTTTGCTTTTCAAGATAGCATGGCATAGATTCAGCGCACAACTATTTTAACTATCGAGCAACCTGTTTTCATATTATACGCCTCCTGTCCATCCAGCTGCTTTTGACGTGACCATGATGGTGCATAAAATCGACATTCATATCATCACTGGGCTGATTTGAAGAATTGTTGAGATCAGTAACCATGGCGACTTCACATCGTCTCACCTACTGTACATCCCACAGCCATAATGTGATCATGGAGAGTTTTTCCAGTATGTATGTTTCTTATCTACATTTTGCACATACCTTTAAAAATGGGTGTTCTGAACATCTCTCTGATGCGCGCGCGCGTGTGTATGTGTGTGTGCGTGTGTGTGTTCAGTCAACCGTTTAAGCTGCTTCCATTGCGGCAGAATTATATTCACTGCTGCGGATGTCCAGTTGCTGCTTTGTGTCTGAGTGGGAGGCTCAGTGTGTTATGAAAACGCTGCAGCCACTGCACATATGGGATCAACAGAGTTTTTGCGGTTTTTGATGGAAATGAAATCGCTGTCAACGTCAAACATTTCTTTTTCTAATGGCAACTGCGTGTGGAAAGTGCCGGTGGATGTAGGTAAGGTTGCTATGCAACAATTGTTAATCGGATAACTTTTTGAGAGTTGTTCCTGAAAGTGAGAGGCATTTAAAGTGAAAAGGCATGTATGTTGTTTTGATACCAATAAATATTTTTTGCAACACAGTTAATCTGGGTCTGCATTTTTTGGGATCAACACTCCACCTGGTTCGCGTCCGGACCGTGTCAATCACAGCAAAGACAGAGAGGAAAATAGCATGGTTCAACGTTAGTGCGCATTTGGCTATGCAAATGTGTGGATAGTCTCCGTAATGGTAGCAAATACTGCAAAGTCATCAGCACCGACTAACATACTTTGGATCTATTTCCGGGTGTGTTGCACAGGCCCATCTACTGCACTGCCTCTTCATTTTTTTTTTTTTTTTTTTTTTATGGACTTTTTCAGAACAGCACTTGCATCACCTTTGACTACTGTGATTTGTCATTCTGTTTTGTCTACTTTTTTACTGCTGCTTTCAGTGGGCGGAGAGAACAACATAAACAGTACAACCCGGGTTAAAAATAATGTTACACTTTTTTTTTCCAACGCTGACAATGAAACTCAATAACTCAGCTCACCTCACTGCACTCTGTTACTATAAACTCGTGATTATGAGCATATACCTATGACTTTTGGAGCGTTTGACTTCGAAGGCTCCGCTCTAATCTCTGACTTTTATCACATTGTGTTGCGTGTGGTGAAAGCTTTACACACACAAATGCAGGGCTCCACATCTTCACGCATGCCGTATGCACAAAGACATCCAACGGGCATGCACTCGAGGGAGAGATGTCAGAGTGAGGGGCAGCTCAACTGCGTTGCTCCCTTCAGCAGTTTGGGGGCGTTTAGTGCCTTGTTCAAGGGCACCTTGACAGTGCACAGAAAACAGACTGGCTCTCCTTTCAAGTATCAATTTCTAATTTTATGATCAAGCACACACATACACACACACACACACACACACACACACACACACACACACACACACACACACACACACACACACACACACACACCCAACCCCACA